AAAAAAGCCGAATGCCATGTGTGCAGTGGTCCGCATTTCTCCCTAAGGAAGACCCGACCCCCCCCATCTCCCTCAGACGTATAGAATGCCATAAGTCTTAGATCCGTCAGACGGCCCCACCTAAGTCTTAGATCCGTCAGACGGCCCCACCTCTCCCTCGCTCTCTCCCTCGCTCTCTCCCTCCCTCAATCCTTCCCTCTATGCCTCTGTCACTCACTCGGCGGCCGTCTCTCTCTTGTTGTGGTATCTGTAATGCTTCGCCTCCATCGCCCGGCGATGTCCAATGGCGGCCTGCTTGGCACCCTCATAGCCCAGCTCAGCGATTGAGAAGGGCTTCTCTTCTCTTTGCCGCCCTCCTGCCAGCTGGCCATCCAGCAATTGTTCGCCTTGTCGTACCACACGCCCTTGACGCCGCTCTGGTGCTTTGATAGCTTCCTCACCGACGCCCGTCCGGTGCGCTCCAGCTCACGACGATGCTCCTCCGCCAACGCCTGATAGATGGAAGCACACATATGAGACACTCAGAGGGAGAGGGCAAGAGGGGACGTGGTTCGCACCTTGGCTGTGTCGAAGCCATGGTCTTTGACGTAGAAGCACTTCTGCTTCTTCGAGTCGCCCTTCTCGTACCACAATGCCCTCCAGGCCTGCATCGCGCTGGACCAACAAACTCCCACCACGTCAGACTGATGCTCTGCAGTTGGTACCACACATAATCAATCGGGTTGCGCTGTTGCGTTGAATTCGCTTGTTGGTTTCCTCACCGGGTTTGGTGATGACAGTCTTCCCCTTGCTGCCGGCCTTGCTGTCTCTGTTGGGGGTCCACTGGGGGTCAGACATACCGATGGACGACAGCACATCACCGGCAGACACCGACGCACCATCCCTCTTGGCCGCCTTGCGCCTCCGTCGTGGCTGGGGAGACGGTGAGCGGCTGCCGTCATCAGACTGGCGGGCCGCCCGAGCCACGATGCTCCTCTGCCGGGCACGTCGGCCCAGTGTCGCGTCGCCCTGTCGACTCATAGGGGGGCGGGCCGGGAGATGAGGAGCGGCGGCCGGGGCAGGGCGGGGACAGAGAGGGGGGTCCAACGGTGGGTCGAGCCTGGGCCTCTTGCTGCGGTTGCTGCCCCCGTACAGATGACTGTTGCGGTTGGGAGGGACACCAGGGACGCCGCCTTGCCCCTGCCCCTGCTGTGCTCGCTGCAGCCACGACAGATCGATGAGCATTGCCCGATCGCCCACACGCGACCGGTGGAGCGCATTGCGGTACTCGACGGCCTCACGAAAGGCCGTGAAGATGGCCGCGGGGGAAGCGCCGTGGCCGACGGGAAACTGACGCAGATCGACGGCCGTCGATGCGTCGCTGTCCCAGAAGTAAGCCTCACAACTGTAGTTGGTCCGCCACGAGATGCCGATACTGACACAGATATGACACACGCAGATGCACAAGTGACGTGACAGTGTCATGACCTATGTCATGCTCACCCTCCCCTGTCTAGTGCATGGAGCTCGCCCGGCTGCTGGTCCCTCATCCACCGCACCAGTGCGCGAGCCAGCGCATTGCCCGTCAGTTCTCCCGCCACCTGACGGCCGGCTGGGCCGCACAGCTTGGGATGGGGGCTGCGGGCAGCCGAGGCCACACGGCCGTCATGGCCGCCATGCCCATCGACAGAGCTGCTTGGCGTGTGCCGCTCCTCTGGGTCGGTGCACCCGGAGTCAATTGACACACAGCCAGACAGCCAGAAGAGGGCGTGTGGGAGGCTGTGTGTACCCAATCTGGCGTCTAAGTGCTGTCTGGCTCACCGTTATTGCGATGCGCTGCCGTCGATGCCTCGGCGTGGGGGAGGGGAAGTGGCCAATCGCTCCTCTCCTCTCTGGGAGGCCGCCCCGCCCTCATGGCCTGGGCAGTCACTCGCCCATCAGACGGCACATCCACACCTGTAACCACACACACACACCAATGGACGGCAGTCAGTGAACGGACGAGTGAGACGCACCTGTTGGCCTCCACCGAATGGCCCTCGTCTGCTGGCCGGCCACCGTCACTGTGACGATCTCATACCGACCGCCACTCCCAGGATCGCTCGCACGCACACCCTCCAGCAAAACGGCCAGCGCAGCCGCATCACACGTCGTGTCAAGCCGAGCGATGTCACTGGCCGACTCGTCGGCTGGCTGCCCATTGCTGTCGGTCGGTTGGGTGTCATCAGCAGTGCTGCTGTGATCCATTGTGTCCTTGCGTCGCCGCTTGGTGGGGCGGATCGGTGGACGACTGTCATCATCCAGCTCGAATGACGGGGGCGGTGGAGACGCGGCCACTCGATACTCGTGGTGTCGTTTCTCCATCTTCCGTCTGTGGGAGATGGCGGCCCGCTTGGCGCCCTCATAGCCCAGCTGCCGCACAGAAAGCTTCTTCTCCTTCCTCTGTCTGCCGCCCTCCTGCCATGAGGCCACCCATGCGTTGCTGCCCTTGTGGTAGTGGACGCCCCTGACGCCGCTCTGGTGCTCCGCTCGCTTCTTGACCGCCGCCCGACCGGTGCGCTCCAGCTCACAACGATGCTGCTCGGCCAACGCCTGACGGACGGATGCACAATGGAGAGACTCAGGGGGAGAGGGGACGTTGTGCGCACCTTGGCTCTGTCATAGCCATGCTCGCTGACGTAGAAAAACTGTGTCTTTCGTTCGTTCTTCTCGTACCACGTTGTCTGCCAGGCCTGCCTCTCGTTGTGCCAACAAACTCCCACCACGTCAGACTGATGCACTGCAGTTGGTACCACACATAATCAATCGGTTGCAGCGGTGTGTTGGATTCGCCTCTTGGTCTCCTCACCCGATTTGGTGATGACGGTCTTCCCCTTGCTGCCGGCCTTGCTGTCTCTGTCGGCGGCCCACTGGGGGTCAGACATACAGATGGACGACCACACATCACCGGCAGACACCGACGCACCATCACTCTTGGCTGCCTTGCGCCTTCGTGGTGAGTGTGGGGATGACGATCGAGAGTCGACGGCCGCCACACTCGACTGGTGCTCGTGCCTGTGGCGAGCCTTGCCCTTTCCGGCATCGGACGTTGCTGCTTCTGCAGATGGTGAATCAACACATAAGAACCAGCTATTATCTGATACAGAAGCAGCTCTGCTGTGTGTCCGTACCTGATGTGTGTGGTGTCTGGCCTCCCGTGATGGCTTCGTTATGCATGGTCAGCTGCCCGCCGTCCAGACACGCCACCTCAGCCGATCTGTCCCTTTCGGTAGCTGCCTGGCCTCCATCCGCTGCCGATGGTTGCTCAACGGTTGGCTGCTGCATGGCCGTTCGCCCTGATGATGCGTAAAGTGGCTTGCGCGATGCTTCACAAGCTGGATGAGGGCTCGGCGCTCCTTCAAGCATGAGCTGCAGAGTGACGGGCACGCTGATCCAAGCTCAGCAATGCTGCAAGATCAGCTGCTCGAGTTTCGACGGTCTCGGTGAATCTGCAGGGCAAAAAGATTCGCCTGCCGTGAATCCTACTGTTGCATTCAAGCTCGCATTTTGGTTAGCGTTTTCGATTCATTGCGGCGTCGTTTTCCAACTTGAGACGCATTGCTGTCACCGTGCCCCGTTGATTCATCCCGCGAGCTGGCCATGTCGGCAGCCGCCGCTGTGGCAGCAGCAACAGGCAGCTCGAAGAAGCGGAAGGCGATTAACGGTGATGCTGTTGACGCAGCTGGCCAGCCATCGGATGCTCAGCGCCACCGTCCCACGCCTCAGATCGGCCGTCAGTCACTCGACAAGGCCATCGCCGCAGCCAGCGCCGCCCTCCTCGCCATCGAGAATGCCGCCAGGAGTGCCCGTCAGCAGCTGCAGAGCAAAGCCGAGGCCATCAAACAGCTGATTGAGAGCACAGGCGGCAAGTTGGAGCTGACGGGCGGCATCGAGGGGGAGGTGGAGGTCAATGTGGGCGGCCGGGTGGTGGGTGTGTCGCGCAAGGGGCTGTTGATGGATCAGCTCCGCCGCACCTAGTTCGCCCATCTGCTGCTGTACTGCGTGGACGCCCTGCCCCGCGATGAGGAGGGCCGGCCCTTCGTCGACGCTGACTTCAACCATATCAAGTGGTAGGTCGAATGAAAAGGGAATGCACGTCTGATTGGGTTGTGTTCATTGCGCTTTGCCTTTGCTCTCCTTGGCGCTCTTCAGGTTGTCTGACGAGATAGCTTTGGTTGAGTGTGCTGACTCCTCAGCTGAGGAGCACGAGATCGAGCTGGACGACACACAGAAGGAGGACCCTTCGTTCGCCTTCTACCACGAGCTGTTCCTCACCCCGACATCGCTCGAGATCGACGTGCGATCAGACGACACAGATATAGACGACAGAGAGGCGGCGGAGGGCAACAAGAAGGGCGGCGACGGCGAGGGGGGCGATGGAGAGGGGGCAGGAGGTAGCAGCGGGGAGGAGACTGCCGGCAGTCGGCTGCGTGAGTACTTGGATAGCTACAACGATGCGGTGGCGGTGCTGGAGAAGGCGGTAGTACATTTGGAGGGATTCGGGAGGGCGATGGGGTCCTTTCTCCGAGCAGAGGACGGCGGCGCCCACGAGGTGAAGACCGTAGCCGTCCTGCGCAAGAAGGTGTCGACCACCGAGGCGACGCTATCGCAGCTCGGCCCCGACAACCTCCTCTACAAACGATTCAGGTGGGAATGCACCAAGCACCATACAGACTTCGATTTGAGGGGTGCATTGTGTTCATTCCTCTCTTGTGTGTGTGGTGTGCAGCGGTGAGATTGTGCAGGGCGACGTACCGATCCGGCAGACATCCGTTGAGCACTTCACAAAGGTGACACACAACCACGACGCACACACAAGAGGGGAGAGAGAGAGAGAGAGAGAGAGAAGGTCATATTGCAAGTCCTTCTGGCTGCCATTCAGGTGGTGGATTTTGCCCGCCGCCAGCGAACCACTTCACTCGAGAAGCGGCCCGGTGCCGTGGTCAAGAAGCCCACAGCCAAGCCCAAGTATATCGCTCAGCTGAAGGTATGGCTGATCCGTCCACACATGACTTCATCAAGGCGGCCATGCACTCAACCTGTGTGTGTGTGCAGAAGGATGTTGAGATGTATGGCCTCAAGATGGAGGACATCTATCGGCCCCCGGCCCCACTGCTCACCTTCGAGGAGACGCGTGAGGTGCTGGCCATGACCAAGATACCCAGCCCCTCGATCAAACTCCTCTACAGGTAAGCAGAGATGAGCATCTGATCTCTCGCAGTGTCCCTCCCACCCCGTTCTCTTTGCTCTCTGTCAGTTCGACGCGTGACGGTGGTGACTTCGGCAAGCTGCTGGACAAGGTGGGCGATGCGAGCGGTCTGCTGTTCCTCGTCAACAACAATGACACACACCGATTCGGCGCCTTTGTGGACGGCCAACTCAAGCCGGCCACCGACCCCACACAGACCAATGAATACCCCGCGCCCCACTTCTTCATCTCGATCAGCGGAGCCTACGGCAAAGTCACCAAGGTGCCCATCCCCAAGGCCAAACAGAAGGTGCAGGTCGCCGGCCGCGACGCCTCCATCCAATCCACCAATGAGGATATCCGCGGCAAGGTGGGTTGATGAGGGGCGAACGAGAACAGCCACAGTCATCTGTGGGTCAATTCGCATGTCTGTGTGCAGATGAACATTGGCCACGGGTATCTGTGGTTTGCCTTGGCCAGCCCCGGCCCGTCAGACGACGTGCGCAGCATGGGGCATTTCGTCAAGACGGAGGACTTGCCCGACAACGGCTACCTCGGCCGGTTCAGCGGCGACAGCGGCACACTGGCGGGAGACTGGTACTTCACCGCAAAGGAGATCGCCGTCTACCAGGTGAGGTACCGAGGGGAAGGCAGAGACACGTCGATGAATCGAGGGATTGATTTCTGACTAAATAGATGCGTGTGTGCTCTGTAGGTGAAGTCGGCATGAGTGAGGGGAGCAGCCACTGTGGCAGCAGCAGCGGAAGACATAGCTTTGCACAGACATGACAGACCGATTTCCGTGTGTGCGTGGATGGATGGATGGACCTTCATGCGTGCATGTCGCAATTTTGATCCACGATCATGCAGTCCACTGACACACACCAGGGAACTGAGTCTGTGGATAGCGTCAGTGGCCATTCAACATGCACACGCCACACCTCCGCCCCACCACCCTGTCAGACCCTCTCCATCCATCCATCATGTCTGTCTGTCTTGTCTGTCTGTCTTGTCTGCCCCCCACGCCAGCATCACCAAGCCCTCACATATGGATCCCAGACCGAACAGCAGTCGATGGCGAACTCTTCTGCAGGCACATAGGATGACCCCCAGCTGCTTGAATGCCGGCCACGATCAGCTCAGGCCGCCTCGACCCAGCGCGACGGCACATGCTTGGCTGCTGGTGGACCACTGCCGTGACGCCACGTCATGCCCGCCACGCCCTGCACTGCACTGCTGCAGCGGACCGCACTCCTGAGGATGTCCGCCCATGTTCAACGGCTCGTGAAGACTTGTGGCAGTCCTTGTGGGGCATGTAGGGGGACAGGACTGACAGGCCGACGTCGCGCCACAGAAAGTAGATGGGAGGGGGCGGCGGGGGCCGTCAAAGGTGTGGGGGTTACCTGGAGAGGGAGGGAGAGGGACAAATGCAACACACACACACAGGTGGGATGGATGCGTCCGCGTGTGTCGGTGTGCTATGCTGACCTGAAGGTGCGTTGCAGCAGGATGGCGCATTGGCCACCCACATTCACATCACGGTGAAGAACTGGGCGCCGACCCTTCCTGAACACGCAACACATGGCAGACACAACACATGACATTGAAGGCACGGTGTTACTTGGAGTCGTCCATTTCTCGCCCACCCGTCCGTACCAGAGCGCACTATTGGCCAGCCACATGTTGCCCATCTTGGCATGCCCCTCGTCGCTTCCACCCAAGATCATGCCGTCGCTCATCGCTCTTGCTGACATCGGCTGGCTGGTCGACCCGCAGGCCTTCCCAGCCATCCATCGTCAACTTCCCTCTCATGGAGGGGGCTGCTTGTGCTGTGGGATGCATCGGGCGTCGGTTGGATGGGGCCGATAGAGCGGACAGACGGAGAGGCAGCCCTCAAGCACGCCACACGCCCGTCATCGCGCTATCAAATGCGGTGAATGTCTCAGCAAGCGCAGATCCAGCAGGTTGAGGGTCTTCACGCGAGCCAGGCAGCTTGGTGCGCTCGACGAGTTCGGAGGCTTCCGCTGCGGTGCGTGGCTCTCTTCTCCTCTTCTGTTGTCGGCGTGTGAGGCTCGTGAAGACTTGTGGCTGTCCTTGAGGCATATGGGTGGACCGGGAGTGGCAGGCCGATCTCGCAACAGCTGAGCAGCCGTCGGCGGTGGGCGGTACGAGTGTGGGTGCGCCTGAAGAGACAGGCAGATGGACACACACACACACGTGAAGGTGGAATGAATGCACTCGCGTGTGTCAGTGTGCTGTGCTGACCTGAATTTGCATGTCAGCCGTGCTGCAGTGGGAGGGCATTGGCCAACCAGACGCACACCACAATGCAGCAATGCACACCAACGGGTCCTGACCAACACACGACGGACACAACACACGACAGGCAAGGATAAGAACCATGGAGTGAACGGTGTTGTTTTGAGTTGCCCTTGTCTCGCTCGTCGGTACCAGAGTGTCGCAGTACAGCCACAATGTCCCGCGCACTGCACCTTGCAGAGCCGCAGGTAATTGAGAATCGAGTGTCCACCGCTCCCACCCACCACAATCACATCGCCACTTGTCATCACTGTCGAGCAGTGGCTGAACCGACCACTAGGTAGCTGCCCGTGCCCTGGTCGGCACCTGCCTGTGTCGGCGTATGCGCCTACGTGTGTGTGGCAAGGTCGAGGGCCGGTAGGGTGTGCAGGTGGGAAGGGCTCACGGCACCGCCGGATGGACTGATACCCATCGACACCTCCAGACAGAAGGATGCGGCTGGTGGACTCATGCCGATATGTGGGAGTGGACAGCTCCCGGGCCGCCACAATCATCGGCAGACGTGGCGATCTCCTCCCATGCTGCCTGGGTCCCGTCCACCCTTAGCCGCCACACGTCGCCCAGCACCCGCCCGTCGCTTCCAACTCCCCCTCTCAGGACATCCTCGTTCTGGCCGCTGTTGTAGCTGCCGACCGGACAGATGGCGTGTCGGTCTCGAACCGGGGGCGTGGCTGAAGTGGTCATTTGTGTCCATGTGGCCGTGCGGATGTCGTGTCGAGCAGCCACAGATGATTGAGCGGCGTGGAAGGGGAGGCGTCCGTCACACAGGAGAGGGCCGCGGGGCGGGCAGGGGACGAACGTCACATGCACACGGGCACACGGACCTGAAAGAGACACAACAAATGAGTGGGCTAAGCTGGTTCTTCCTTGGTCCTCTGCCTTCCTCCTCTGCCGACCTGCATTGTTTTCAGCTGCCGTGGCGCTTCTCCAGTGTGCCTTTCTTAGCGTCATACATCAGCAGACCCCTCGACCTTGCCAACTGCCTTGGACCAAGCACACACACAGGCCTAGTGGGGTCGGCGAGGGCGACAGCCACACGATACAGCTGCAAATGGGAGGAGGCATCATCCAGCCCCTGCGTGAGGATAGCAAGCAGCGTCTGCAGATGGAGGTGTGTCGGCTCTCTCTCTCTCTCTCTCTGTGCCTTCACTCACCTGTTGGCCGATGTCCGTCCAGGTCAACAGCGGCAGATCCATCCCCTCGTTCCTCTTCCCCCAATCACGCAGCCGCCTCTCTCCAGCCTCATCGACGAGCCCCTTCTCCCCCACTGCTCGCCGAAAGGTCGCCAGGAAGCGGTCGATCTGGACCGTGTTCTGCGCCACCGTCTTTGGCAATGCCCACAAGGCGACGCAAGGACTCGGTCGTCAAGCAAATGGGACAGCGCGTGTAGCCGCAGAGCGCCGCGGACGCCGATGACCTTGCGCTTTGCGAAAGAGTTGGCGCCCGACTGCTTGAGGCCGCAATGGCGAGCCATAGAGAGAGATGAGAGGCTGTGACACTCGATGTGAAGGAGATCAGCTGAGGGTCGTCGGCTGGTGACGCTGGTGGCTGGGACTGGAAGTCGTCCTTTGCCCCCTCACAGAAGGCCTCCCTCTGCTTGATGGGGCCCGAAAGGGAGCCGAATGACTCAGTGCCGTCGCAGTCGGTGTCATCATCGGACACGTTGATGGGTGAGTGGCTGACGAGGAACAGTCGACGAAGAGTGGCCGACGCTGGATGGGGCGGCCGGGGGCGTCAAGGGTGTGGACGCGCCTGAAAGAGTGGGGCGACAAGGGGGGCGGCATTAGGGGGTCATCCGGCTCTTCCCGCCGCTAGACGACGAATCAGTCGGTCGGACCGCTTGTGCACCCTGGCAAACACATGCACACGGGGAGGGAAGGCATGATACTGACCGCTAGTGGCACTGTGTTGACGTGATGTGTGCATTCTGACCTATAGGTGAGCTGCATCTTGACGAGATGGTGATATACGCCCTGCAGGAAGGAAAGAGAGAAAGAAGAAGGGGATAGCACATGCCCATGGGTGTTGGTCTGGGTGTGGCGTACCTGCAGGCGCCTTGGGGTTGATGTCAGTGACAAGCAAAGGTAGTCAATTGTTCTGCCAGAATAGACGCACACACAAATCTATCAGCTGTCGTCATGTGTGTCCCCTCCTCGGCTCACCAAGCGAAACGTGTGGCCTTCGCCCGTGTGTGCCATCTATGTGTGTGTGTGATGATTGAAAAAGCGAGCAATCGAGGAAAGAAACGCAAGATGATGCCCCAGCCCTTCACCCACTCACTCATTCCCTCCCCACCCTCCCCCACCCATTCCCACCGAAAGCCAAAGATGCGAGAAACTGATTGAGTGCGGGCCAAATCGAGAGGTTAGCCAAAGCAGGAGTGCCATTCTCCGTCTCCCCGCCCCTTCTCCCTCACTCACCCAACAAAACAGATGACCTGCCCGTGACCTAATCACCCCTCCCGGCCCCCATCACTCAGCCCATTCCCTCAAAACGAGAAACCGAGAAACTGACTGTTGGGCAAGGCAGTCAATCGTCCGAAGCAGAAGCAGCCGATTCTCACTGTGGCTTGCCCTTCTATCTCACTCACCCATTGCCTTCACTCCGCCTGCTCATCACTGCACCTCATACAACCACACGGATGCAACTTCACCGAAGCTCTTCCCATCCCCCACGACCCAGGTTCAGGCTGGCCACCACCAGACAGGCAGACAGACAGGCGGGCGGGCGGGCGGGCGGCCTTCAGCTGCTTCCCGCCACACACAGCCACACCCATTCACACATCACAAATGGAAATGTATTTTGCTAGAAATCAACGCACTCACGAATCTATCGGCTGTCGTCATGTGTGTTCCCTCCCCGCCATAGCGAGCGAAATGCAGGTCCTTCGTCAGCAAAGTGTCACGGTCGTGTCCACAATGTGTGTGTGATGACTGCAGAAGAGAGAAATCGAGGAAAGAAACACAACACGATGCCCCACCCTTTCACCCACCCCACTCACCCCCTCCCCACACTCCCTCAGGGCGTTCCGACCGAAAGCAAAAAATGCGAGAGACCTTATCGTGCGTGTCATTGCCAAGCCGAGAGTAAGCAAAAGCAGGAGTGACATTCTCCGTCTCCCGCCCCTTCTCCCTCGCTCACCCGACACATCACAGATAGACATCACGCACTCGCCAAGTCTGAGACGGGCCGGGGAAGCCCCTTCCATACCATCCCTCCCCCACTTACTCACCACTTACTCACCAGACAGACAGGCAGAAAGGCAGAAAGGCAGTCGTTAGGAGCTCCTTCCAACCACTTACAGCCACAAATGGGAATGCGCAAATCGCGCTAGGCTAGGACGGGTAGGGTCAGTCAGCTTACTCACTCACTCAGCCCAGCCATCCAATCTGTGTCTTCCCCCACCCACCCGCCGTGCATTCTCCATGTGTGCATCGCATCCATACATCCATTCATCCAACAGCGGCAGCAATTGACATTCACACACCAAGCCCCTCTCCCCCTCCCAGCGCGCCTCACCTGGCGCAGCATTTGGAGCGCCGGCCCGCCCTCGCCTCTCTCGCCGGCAGGGGAAGCCTGGCAGGATGCGGCGCCATGTGCGCAAGCGGAACCCGGGCAGGTGGTTGGGGAGGCGGTGGCAGCCAAACCTGCCGCGGCGCCATGCGCGCCAACGAGTGGGCAGGAGGCCCGATGAGCGGAGGGCCGACGAGTGGATGGGGAACGCCGCCGAGCACAGGCCGCGCGACAGGGGCAGTGGTTTTGAGCTGCGGTGGGGCGATATGCCGCGGGAGGAAGCGGAGGTGGCAGGGATGAGGCCCGATGACGGGAGGGGGGATGAGGGGAGGGGGCGGGCCGATGGGCACGTGGTGCACAGCAGCAGGTGCTGCAGTAAGGAGACGTGGCCGACCAACTGGCGGCGTGGCCGGGGGCGGAGTGATGGGGGGCTCGTCTGGAATGCCCTCTCCCTCGTCCTTGCCCTCGTCGCTATTCAAGTCCTCCCCACCTGAATGGACACACAGAGAGAGTAAGGGGGCGGTGAGGGGGAGTGCCTGTGCCTGTCTGTCTGTGTATCGCCTGACCCTCTGGTTTGTCAAGCCCCTCGTCTTGCCCATCTACAGCTGCTGCTGGCGGTGCGGGTGCGGACTCGCCCGTCGGTTGCTGCTCCGGCCATCCCCCCTGCTGCTGTATGAGCATGCCCGCGCCCAGCTGCTGCGCCGACTCTCCTTGCTGACACACAAGGTGAATAGGGGCCGTCAGACAGAGACGAAGAGACTGTGAGAGAATTGTCACGTACCTGACCGCCTGCCCAGATATCCAGGGCCTCCTTTAGTTTTCTGTTCTGTTTGAAGGCAACAGAAGCGCATGGTCGAAGCATGCACATCCAAGTCGCCCTCTCTTGTGCCCGTGTGCAAGTCGCTGCTGACCTCCTCTGGCAGGGCGTCAATCTCCTTCTGCATCTCGGCCTGCCGCTCTCTCTGCCAGGCAGGACAGTCAGACAGACACATTGTGCATGCAGAGCTTTGTAGTTGGGTGCATTTCGTAGGCAGGCTCACGTTGCTGATTCTCTCTTTCGCTCACATCACTTCCAACTTTTTCTTGATCGCGACGTCCTCCCTCAGTCGCTCTGGGCAGTCACATACAAGCCAAAGGCAGACAGGTCCGCATTTGCTCGACCTTTGCACCTCTGTCTTGACTGCCCTACTTTGCAAGGAAGTCCTCTGCAGGAGGATGCGCGCCACTTCGTCCATCCTGGTATAGTCATCGTAGTAGCTGTCCATACCTGGACGGGGACACAAGACATACACGGATACGGATGGAGCATGGAGTGCATTCGCTTACAGTGCTTGATGGTCTGGAGCATTTTGCTCCTGTCCTTCTCCAGCTCCCGCATCTTGAGCGTGGTGAGGGAGGGGACTCCTGAGCTGAGCTCGGGGAGCGGGGGCGGGTCGCCGCCGGTCCTCTTGCCGAGGAACCAGGTGGGGTCGATGGGCATGGCGGTGAAGGGCTTCAGCAGCACACGGTGGCTCTCTCGGCAGCTCAACGACGAAGTATTGGTCTCCCCTGCGAGCTTTCAGGCTTGCAGAAGAGGTGACGATTTCTGCAATCCGAGACGAGGGCAGACGACCGCAGGCTCCATAAGGTCAAACACAGATGGCGGCTGCCGCAGCGCAAGCGATGGTTGTGGGCGACCCAGCGCTGCTCGAGCGATTTGACGTTGGCAACACCGTCTGTCAAGGCGGGTAAGCAGATAGATGAACTAAGGAGAGCGACACCACTGAATGATGCAGTGCATCTGGTTGGTTGGCTGCAGGTTCGCTCAGGTGGCCAGAGCGACCGACGTTCTGCAAGGCACGCACTGTGCGGTCAAGAAGATTCACAGAGCCCAGTTTGAGTGAGCAGTCAGGCCGTCACGCACCAGGCATCACACACTTTCACTCATTGACTCATTTACTCATTTCAGGTCGTTTGTGGGCGAGAGATCCACAGAGCGCATGCTCGCCATGTGTGACATCCTCGAGGGCGAGCAGAATGACAATGCCGCAAGGATACTCTACGCCTCTGCGGACGACCAGAGCATCTACGTGGTAATGCCCTGGATCGACGGCGACACCCTCTTCAGCTACAGCTACACACACCCGCTCCCACGCGCACACATCAAAGCGATCATGCGAGGCATCTGCGAGGCGCTCAAATTCCTCCACGAGAAGCAGGTGGGCGAATTGGCGACCACACGCGCCGAGCACTGATGTCAGTGTGCTGCCTTGGTCCCTGCGTGTGTGACAGTTGGTGCATCGTGACGTCAAAGAGGACAATCTGATCGTCACGGTCGACGCGAGCGGCAATGCGCGTGTGGTTCTGATTGACTTCGACCTGTGTGTGCGTGTGTGTGACGCCGAGCGCCTGCGCGAACCCCCTGGCCATTTCCCGCATATGGTGGGCGAGCAGCTCACGACCACACACAGCGAGAACGCGATTCGGTTCATGTCTTGCCTGACGTGTTTACCTTCAGGCCCCGGAGACGATCCTCGACTCGCACTTCTCCCCGGCCAGCGACATGTGGAGCGCAGGCGTCATCCTGTGAGTGACAGATCGACGAACAGACGGAGAGAACACCGCACTTCCTTATTGCCCTTTGTTTGTTGTGATGCGGTGTGTGTGCGCTGTGCAGGTATCGGTTGTTGATGAATCGTTATCCGTTTGAGGTCGCCGGACTGAGCCGCGGTGACGCCTACAACATAATCCAACAGGTGATTGCTTAGCGACAGCGGTTCACACACGAACTCTGTGCATCGTCATCGTTACCTGTGTGTTCCCTCCCTCCCCCCCCTCCCTCCCCCTCTCTCACAGGGCTACGCCATCGATGCGCGAGTGCAGCAGGACTCAGAGGCCTGCGACCTCATCAACCGCCTACTCGCCCAACATCCGTATCATCGCATCACCGGTCAGCAGCAGAATGTGCGCAAACAACACACATAAGGGTGCTCACATCTTCCCCTCCTTGCATGTGTCATCCATCCATCAGCCGATGAGGCGCTGCGCCACCCCTTCGTGCATGAGGGCGTGCCGACGGCTCCCAACCCACCACCCAGTCCTCCCCGCCCCCCTGCCAGGCAGCACACCACCCCACGCCAACAGCAGCATGGCCCACTCATCACCGCCGAGTCACTCCGGGCGCGCGGTTTCGTGCTGCAGGGGGGAGTGCATCTGCCCCAGGCCGAAAGCCCATCTGCCGCCCCACACCCCGCACCCGCCCCACCTGCACACGGCGGCGTGTCGGGTGCCCCCGCACAGAACCGAGGCGTTGGCGGCGGCCCCTCACCGCCCGACCCAGCAAGAACGCCGCCTGAGCAAGAACACCAGCACGAGCAGCAGCCGGGCCCCATTATCGGCGGCCTCCTCCTGGAGGAGGGCACAGGAGGCGAGCGGGTCGGGGGAGAGGGCGGCAGTGGGAGAGACGGGGGCGGGGTCGTGGGAAGCCAACAGCAGGTGGGCGTTGGTGGAGCAGCTCAGGGGGAGGGGGGCAGTGTGGGCGGTGTTGAGAGGGAGGGTGAGGAGGAGGGGGAGGAGGTGATCATGAGGCGGGATTGGGAGGGGACGGACGAGGACGACCTGTCGGTGACTGCGGGGATGAGGGTGAAGATCATCTATCGCGACGGGCGCGGGATGATATACGGAA